GCTTGTGGATAGTTGTGAAGCGGCGACGACACCTGCGACGACGCTGATGATGAGGACGACTACGACTCGAAGGAAGACAAGACCTTTGACATCCTCGGCTTGACTACGACAACCTGGCCTATGTTTCTCACGTCTCGACATTCAAGGAAGTGTGAGACATGCATGTCACGCGTTACGAAACCCGGACATATGCTGATGTGTCCAACAACATCCACGAGTTACACACGAAGGTGTACAGCCCTGGTTAATTGAGTTTGGATTATCATTTTTAAGACATTCCTCCGCGAGGGCCGACACTAGAACCACATGTTATGGAACCGCTTCGCCAATTGTAACGCGCCTGCTCGACCAGGGGCGGTGTGTAATCTTCGGTTTTTACTTCGCTCAACGCTTCATACCTCGTGCTTCGACCGATCTTCTTCGAAGTTCGGTCCTCGTCTTCGTACGCAGCCCTTGTTATCCGGATTCCCCAGGGGAGGGACGGATAAATCCTTGCGGAAATAATCCGGGGAAGCCGGGGATCGAACCCACGACCTTTGAGTTAAGAAACCGATGCTCTACCACCTGAGCTATTCCCCCCCCTTGTACAGCCCTGGATCGTCGATATAAAAACATGTTACGGATCTGCGCGGCCTGCAACACAAGCTGCTGCTCAAGGGATCATCCGCGGACGACGAAATGCTGGGACGTATCCTGCTGACAAGCGTGAAGGAAGTATTCCCCACAACGGTAGAAATACTGCGCAGCTTCTTGAACCGGCTCGGACTCTCTCCGAAATTACCAACCGGCTGTTATCCAAGGAAAATGAAGTGAAGAATGGTGCATCCTTGAAGCGAAAGGCGGAAACAGAACAGATACTCTACACGGGTAAGCCTGACAAGCCTCGCCCTTTCAAGAAACACGCGGCGAAGGACTAGTGTCATTACTGCAACAAGATTGGCGATCATGTGTTTGAATGTCGCTACACGAAGCGCGATTTGGCCAAGGGCATCAAACGGAAGTGCATGTCCATCAAAGATGATGACCAAATCAACGTCCTTCAACACGATGAGGAGGAAGGATTCATTCTGGCCACATCAGATGATATCCCACGTTCGGACCTTCAATGCGTATGGATTCTGGAAAGCGCTTGCACAGCAGATGTGACGGGAAACAAGCCCCTGTTCACGAAACTGGCCCGAGCACAGCTGTCTGCGTTACAGCTGGCCGACAACTCAACCGTCTAGTCTATGCACATGGGCCTGCTGTCAATCCAAGTGGACGCAGACCATCGACTGGACCGTCCCAAGGCCAAATTTGTCCCAAACCGCAAGCAAAACCTCCTCGCGTTTCGACTGCTTCTCAGGGATGGTTTTCAAGTGGCCAAGTGGGACCTGGACGTGGCCATCATGATCTTGGACACGTTTGTCCTCACGTTCACCCATCATCGCGGGCTCTTGTTTTTCAACCATATGAAGAACATATCAACAGCTGTCTCGTTCGACAGTCCACGCCGAAGCTGGTACTATGGCACCTTCGACTGGCACACCTCAACTTTGCGGCGATCAAGCAAGCGGCTCGCGACGGCTCCATGGAAGGCCTGCACCTGTCCAAGTCCGACCTGGCGCAAGACTACAGCTGTGAAGTGTGTGAGGTGGCCAAAGCTCGTCGGATGAGCTACAAGAACGCCAACCCGTACCGCACACATGCCCCACTGGAGCGCGTACATTGACAAGGGTGGACCGATCACACCCGCGACATTTGGCGAGAAGATGCATTACGAACTGTTCGTGGATGGTGGCATGGATAACCGATATTGGGGCGAAGCGCTGAAATACGTTGAAGCTACACCAAGGCGCTTGGATGCAAAACCCCGTTTGAAGCACTTCACGGTCGTAAGCCCAACATCAACCATTGGCTGCAAAGCGTTTGCATTCATCGACAAGGCGAAGCGTGCCAAGTTGGACCCTGAGCGACCAAGTGTGTGTTCCTGGGATATGCAAGCCAACACAAGAGCTATAGTTTGGTCGACAGCGAAACTGGCGAAGCCCGAGTGCCGCTCAGTCAAGTTCACGGAAAACGTTGTGGCTGCTAACGAGAAGAACGGTCATTTGGATGACCAAGTGACAGATTTCCCACTCGAAGTCACTAAAGCGGAAGAAATCGATGCGGGGTCTATCACATCAATTCCAATACATTAAGGGCCTACGGTTCCAGTGGAAGTTCCTACCATGGCCCTTGAAGAAACACCAAGTATGTCGACCCAAATCAACCTATGTCAAGAGTTCAAAGTCGAAGATCCACCGCAATTTGGCGAAGCAACGACCCTAAGCGACCAATAATCAAGCGACGCTGAGGTCGATTTCGTCAATCCAACGGGTCTCGAATTCATTTCGGGTGGCCACCACCAAGTATTTTCGGTCGACGTGATCAACGACACGCCGCTGTCTTTTGCCAGCATCGAATCAAGACCCAAAAAGCAAGCGTGGCTCGACGCGACCCAAGAAGAATACGATGCGTTGGTCTACAACGACAGTTGGGTGCTCACCGATTTGCTCCGTGGTCGCAAGACGCTGGCATCTCGGGGTTTCGGGGTTTCACTTTGTGCGAGACCAAGTCGAGAAGGGCCGCATCGACCTTTGTTACTGTCCAACGAAGTTGATGGTAGCAGATATCCTCACCAAAGCGATCCCGCGAGGGCAATTCGAGATCCTGCGTTCAAAAATGGGAATTGCAGATGGACCCACGAATTGAGTGGGAGTATGAGAAATACCAAGTAGTGTAATTATTGTGATACACTATTACATATAAGACAGACACGACACAAAACCGACAAAATTCGGCCCCGTGAGTATTCGGACTGGTCATTATTTTTTGCGACAATCCGATTGGACGAGGCGGTTGTCGCAGCAGCAACATATCACTAACATTTAGCATGTACGGCTTTCTATTGGTTGAAATACTGCCGAGACACGAAATGGTGTTGATCAGCATAAGTAAAACGGCACGAACCAGCAGGAGATCATGCTGTTGTAGTCGGTGGCAGTCAGCCGGCGCCCCACCATGATGCATGGGGACCAATGGTGGGACCCATTTTGTTGCCCATTCGACACAAAACGTACGAAGCGGCTAAGAGTAATGGTTGCGCTTTAGGTAGGTCCTGATTGAACATTACTGTAGCTACGCCAACACCACCTTACCTCCAGTAGTCATTCCAATTGCCCCTCATTCAACAAACGACACTAACCACGTTCTCCAGCTCTGCATATCCACTTACTTTCGCAACGTGAACCACCGTACTTGTTAGCACACAGTGTTTACAACCATCCCTACTGCTAGCATCTGCACAGTGGGGATGCTTATAACACTAACTGCGACCTCCCTTCAATCTGTGCCCCCTTCCACCACAACACTAATTAATCATATTTTCAATACTACAACTACTAAGATTACTTATATTGTTGCGAGCGACCTCACAGGTATCACAAAACACTCACCAAAGAGTTGATTGAGACGATGGGAAGTAATTAAGAGCTCACAAACTTATTCTACGGTGGCAAACTCGTATACATGAGTTATCAATGTAAATCTAGAAGTGCACATGTACTCCAGCGGTAGGGTTCTTTACAGCGAATGGTAACGCTCGCTACGATGTCCACGGAGTCTTAATGTACTTCGGTATCATTGGCGAGCAAGGAACGAGGTAAGCATGCCTGATGAGTGGCTTGTGTTGCGCAAAATAACGTTAACCAAGATAATTCCTCCACGTAATATTGAGCGTACTATAATAGTACGTGTACAGTGTACCTTTACAGTTAGCCCCCGCCAGCAAACAGGACTCTGTACGTCGATGCATTCCAAAAATCCTAGATACTTTACTTGGTCGTTGTATTGA